GAATTCTGGATCCTCCACCAAAGCCCGCCTCTCCTCCAAGCCTCTGTCTCCCCGCAGCTGCCAACGCTGGAGGCTGGGAGTCCCGGAGACTCCCCTCCGCCTTCCTACTTCCCATCTGATCTCGTGCCAAGCGGAGTTCATTCTTCCTTCTCAATGTTTCCTGAATTGCTTCCCTCTTTTTCCTCCCCACTGCTCGTTTCTGTGCCTGAAGCACCAACCTCCCGGCTGGTCTCCTGCCTCTGGTTCCTTCCTCCCTACACAATGCTTTGTTGCTCAACCAACTCAGCACCAACCCGTTCAGTCCAAATTCCTCCGCCGGGCATTCTGGTCCCTGCCAGATCTGGCCTGATTGTCACCTTGTTCCCATGATAACTTATGGTCAAAGCTAACCCGTCCTTGCTCCCTGTTCTTGTGCCTTTGCTCCAGCTGTTTCCTTTGCTGGAGATATTCTCCCCACCCATTTTGGACAACCCAAATGGACAGGACAACCCAAATCCTGTCCATCCTTCAGAACTTCAAAACTCAGATCAAGGCCTCCCCCTCCCAGGCCCTCCCTAGGTCCCTGCAGCCTTGAGGAGTTCCTCCTCAGATCCCCAGTGCCTCCTGGGTGCTCTGTGCCCTATGTCGGTGCTGTTTCATGATTCTTACTCGAAAGACACACCTGGGTCTAGGGGTGGGATGTCACTCAGACTGCCTGGTGAGGAGGAAGGAGCTACATTTGTTGTTTTTGGGGGGCCCCCTTTTCATAATTGTACCTCAACTTCTCCCACTCTCAGTCCCCATGCTGCAGGCAGGGCATACCCCTGCCCAGGAAATGGAGCCCTGGACATGGACCTCCATCTTAGCCAATCAGTGATTGACATTCCTGGGGATGGGCCAATCAGAACCAAGGACGCCTGGAGACTTTCTGCAGGAGTTCTAGGACTTGAGGCTGTCTTTCCCAGGAGCTTGAACCTGAAGCTGTGCAGCCCTTTATCAGCACAAGGGACTTGTCTATGGGAGGAAATGGAGGCAAGCGACGGAGAGGGAGACACTGGGTCCTGGGATGTTGTTTGAGCCTCTGAATCAAGCTGTGCCTAGAGTCAGCCCTACCCCCCCCCCCCCCCCCCATTCCCCAATCACTTCTGAGAGTAAATTCCCTTGACCCACCCTGGGTTTGGTTTCCTCCTCCTTGCATTACAAAGACGCTGAGCTGGTGCACAGGGTGAGGAGAGGGATCTCAGCAGCATCTCCCAGGAGGTCATGGTGTGACCTCCCTTGGTTCCAAGGTTGAGCCATGGAAGCTTGGCTGCCCTGTACCCTGGCTGCCCTGTGCCCTGACCCGCTGGCACCCCAAGGTCCGTAGGAGTAGATGAGAACCATCTGGACCATGGAGTGAAGCCTTAGGCCCCAAGGCAGGGCTGGGTCTCCGGAATGTGGATGCTGAGCCCAGGCTCAGGATGGAGAGTGTTGAGGGGGCATCAGGCTCCTGCTGCCTGAAACAAAAGATCCCCAGACGCTATGAGTCATTAGAATATGGGAGGGGGATGGGAGGAGGCTCAATCCCACCTTTCCCAGGAGCCCTTGGGGAATATAGCTGGAAACAGCTGGAGCAGGGGTTACCGGGAAGGGAGCACAGGGACTGGGACGTGCCCGGATGCTGTGGGAAGAGGGCAGGACTGAGTGCCCTGGGAGGGATGGGGGTTGAGAGCAGAATGTTCCTGAATGTTCTTTCATGATGGAGCCTTAGGGAAATGCTCCCGGCCTCTCCTCTGACATGGTGGGGGGCTGGGACAGGTAGATCGAGGTGTGGAAGTGGGGAGCCCTAACTTCCCGTTGAACCTGGGAGGAATCACCATAGATGTGAGGATGGAAGAGCTGCTCAGGGTCTGCCTTGGGAAGACGACTGGGTGCCCATCTGAATGAAGGTGCTGCATCAGAGGCCCCCCAAGGATTTGTGCTGAGAACTGGGGGGTCTTTTATGAATCTGGAGAGTGATCTGGGGTCTGAGGCAGGGCCCTGGGCAGGCAGCTTGCTGAAGAGGAGCCTGGTGTAGCCAGGAAGGGTCAGCATGAGGCAAGGGTGTTGGGGGAGTCAGAGATAAGGGGGCATGAGGCTGAAGGAGCCCTCCTTGCTTCCGCTCTTCTACACCCAGATTCCTGAGAGCTCGGTCTTCCCCCCTGGCCTTCTGCCCACCAGCTGCCACAGAGCGAGGGAGGAATCTGCTTTGCATTATCAGAGGAGCGGCGTCCCCCAGGCATATGGTCAGCAGACCCCCCAGCCAGGAGCATCATGGGAAATGTCTTCTCCTGACCCCAGCTCTGGCCCAGCCCCTTCTTCCCCTAGAGCAGTGGTTCTCAACCTTCTGGCCCTTTAATACAGTTCCTCATGTTGTGACCCAACCATAAAGTTATTTTCTTCGTTGCTACTTCATAACTGTAATGTTGCTACTGTTATGAATCGTCATGTAAATATCTGATATGCAGGATGGTCTTAGGCGACCCCTGTGAAAGGGTCGTTCCACCGCCAAAGGGGTCGCGACCCACAGGTTGAGAACCCCTGCCCTAGAGCCTGGGGCTCCGAGCTCAGTGGCCCCACCACACCCCTCCCCAGTGGATGAAGAGGCTTTTCACATCGTTCCAAGTCTCATCTGGGCCTCACTGATCTGCATGAAAGAGGAGGGGGAGGCCCTAGGGGAAGAGAAGGGGCTCTGATGGGCCAGCCAAGATGAAAGGTCTCACCCTCTAGCCTAGAGGATGAAGGAGACAAAGATGTTCCCCCAACCTGGGCGAGAGGAGAGAGGCCTTGGGGGTGGCGGGTGGGGGTGGCCGGTTGGGTGGGAAGGAGAACTATAGGCCTCAGGCCCAAGGAGACTGACACAGGAAGAAGCAAGGGAGCACCTATCTGTCCACTGAGCCCACAGCTGGTCAAGTTCACAGCTGGCTGGACCCAGAATGAGTCCTCCTCTGGGAGGATGAAGCTCTGGAGCTGCCCGAGGTGACAGCCACATTGAGCTACTGAGCACTGGCAACGGGCTAGCCCAGTGGTCAGCAAACTGCGGCTCGTCAAACCGTGGCTCGCGAGCCACATGCGGCTCTTTGGCCCCTTGAGTGTGGCTCTTCCACAAAATACCGACTTCTGCGTATGGGCCACGAAGTTTCAACCACACTGTACATGCGCGCCCGCACGTGGTATTTTGTGAAAGAGCCACACTCAAGGGGCCAAAGAGCCGCATGTGGCTCTTGAGCTGCGGTTTGCCAACCACTGCGCTAGCCCAACTGAGATGTACTGTAAGAGCAGAATACATCCTGAATTTTGAAAGCTTAATAGGGGGAAAAAAGTAACACTTCATTGGTCATTTTAAAATACCGATTACATGTTGAATGATGCTTTGGACATATTGGGCTAAATAAAATAGATTGAGTAAATCTCCTCTGCTGCTTTTTACTTTTGTAAGGTGGCTACTAAAAAATTGAGAATCACATATGCCACTTGCATCCTATTTCTATCAGCCGGGGCTGCTTCAGAGCACGCCACTCATTCAGTCGACAAGGTTTTATTGGGTGCTAGCTCTATGCCAGGCAAGGTGCTGGGGATTAGAAAGTGAGCAAAACCAGACCCTGTCTCTGGTTTCCTGGAGTTTACAGTAATCAAATAATCACTCAGACGGGTGCCTAATTGCAGAGAGACAAGTGCTCTAGAGAGAAAGAGTGGAGTGTGGTCTTCTCTGAACCTGGGATCAAGAAGCCTGCGTTGGGCCCAGGGTGTGGTGAGAGCTTCCCCAGCGAAGCACCGAGCTGGGGGGTAACTTGGAAAAGAAGGGAGAGTGTCCCAGGCAGAAAGGACAGCACATGCTACAGCCCCTGGCTCTCTTCTGTCTCTTAGGGCCTTTGCTGAGCTGGCTCCTCTGCCAGGGACACTGTCCTCCCCCAGCTCATTGAGTCCACTCAGCCCGAAGGACTCAGTTCAACGGCCCTTTTCTAACAGACCTTCCCTAGTCCCTGGCAGGGGTGGGTCTGGGCTGGGACCTCCCACGCACCCCTCGCGTGGCGCTGGACACCGTATGGGGCCTGCTGCTGTGTCCCCCTCGAGACTGCAAGGTCGCTGCAGGCAGGGACTGGTGTCTCCCTTATCCGCACAGGCAGCATCGGGCTCTCCTTCCCCAGGTGCCATGTCTCCCCCGTCAGAACGGAGGCTCCCTTGGGACGGGAATGGTGCCTCCCTCGTCAGATTAGAAGTATCCTCAAGCCTGGGACTGGCTCCTCCCCATCAGATGGGAGGTTCACTCAGGACAGAGACCATCTCCCCATCACACTGCACCCTGGGTGCTACCCAAGTACCAGGGTCATTTCTCCCACCTATCGCATCCCCAACACACCTTCCTCACAACTCCATCTGGGGGTGGAAGATGGAAGACAGCCGCTCCTCCCAACTCGAGCCTCACTCTTGGCTGGGCCCGCTGACCCCTCCCGGGAATCTGAGGTCAGGAAGGCTGTTTGTTTTTCTTTCTGGGAAGACCAAGCCTCCCATGCTTTTCCCAACAACCGTGAGCCAGCCCCGCCAGAGGTCGGAGGACCTGGCCGAGGGACCAGCAGGGGCTGAGCAGCTCTGACCAGCTGCCTGGCCAGCCTTGGAGAGGGGAACAGGCCTGGGGCCCGGAACCCCACACCTCAGGGAGCTCCCAGGCCCGGGCCAAGCAGGGCTCAAAGCCAGGCTGGCAGGAGCCAGCGTTGGGAGAGCCACAGGGAGGGCTTGCCTAACTCTAGGTCGGGTCAGCCAGGCTTCCTCGGGGCCATCTGGAGCCAGAGCCTGTGCGTGTGTTTGAGGAGGCAGGGGGGAGTGTCTCCCAGGCCGTGTGGGTGGCTGGGAGCCGCAGGGCTGTGATCTGGCCGTTCCAGCAAGCCCCTGGCTCCCCTGTGGTCACTTTCACTTCTGACATCTGGTCAAGTTTGCAGCTGGCCAGCTTCCTGCAGGGCCATGTTCACTTTCCCTCTCCCAGACCTGGGGACAAAGCGCTCCCACTCCCTCCCTACCCCACGTAAGTTAACTCTGTGGCTACTATACGAGTGCATTTGCTAGATGTCTGTTAAAACTTCCCCATGTGGTGTGCGTACAGGAGGGAGACGGGGCAGAGAAACAGGATGGGACCCGAGTTGGAAATGACACCTGGGTCCTTATGACATAGCCAACCTCCGCCAACTCAAAACACACCCGTTTTCTTTCTTTGCTATTTAATGCTCATCATTTATGTTTTATGTGTAAGTTTCAGGAGGGCCCAAGAAATGGTTACACAGGGTGCGAGGGGAAGGTGTCGGGAGTCTGGAGCTCACAGCCCCCCAGTTGGGGGGCCCAAAGGGTTCCATCTCCGCCCAAAGGGAGGTAGGAGGGGCCCCAGAACCAAACACATGCTAAAACATACCTGCCTCCCTCCAACCGCTCCCAACTGCTGGGGCGGAAAATAAATACACTCAGACTCTGTCCCGCTCCCGGGCGCACAGGCGAGGAGCCAGCGGGTGAGTTTCCGCCTCCCATCACAGATTGAGGTCCAAGGAATACCATCTACATACAATGTTCCCGGTCCCTGGCAGGGGGTTGGGAGAACCCTGGGCGGGGGAGGGGGTGGCTGTCGGCGCACCCCTTGCTCTGGGCTCCTTCATGCTAAATAGAGGGGGGAGCCATTCATTCCAACATCAAGCAAAACAGAACAGGCCAGGAGGGACCTCCAGGCCCCTTCCTGGCACCAAGCTAGGGAAAAAGCTGTCCTTTGTGGGGCCCTCGAGACTTTGGACAGACCGTCCAGGGCCCGCAGTTTAACTCCATTCCTTCTTGCTGCATTCCCAGACTGGTCCAAGTTTCTTCGTCGCAACCTTCGGGGCCCAGCCAAACCCGTGGCTTCAGGGGAGGGGAGGCGGGGGCAGCATTCCTCCATGTGCAGGCCCTTGGAAGGCAGGCGCCAGCTCGAGCCTCAGCCGTCCTTGGCCCGCCAAACCCGGGGGCGAGGGAAGACGGCCGAGCAGAGTTCAATTCCCTGTGATGCTTCTCTGGCAGCTGCCCCGGGGCAGGATCCGGTCCCAGCCCAAGAGAAAGAACTCGTGGAGAAAAGATTTCTCATCCGCTCTGTGTGTGTGTGTGTGTGTGTGTGTGTGTGTGTGTGTGTGTGTGTGTTGTATGTGGGGGGTCCTTAGCCCCTAACCCCGAGTACTGCCTGTGTTGACTCTGGGTCTGTGCCAGGATGGAAGGCACCTACAGACTGGGCCACACCCAAGATGCCACACTGACATGCCTGAGGGGGGCAGGAAGGGGGAAGTGGCACTCCTTCCCACAAACCCCAAGCTGACTTGGGTTATGATGGATCCGTGGACCAAGCCTTGGGTAAAGCATCCTGTGTCCCCCAGGGTTGAACAGGCCTGGAGATGGTGGAGGGTGGACCGGATCTGGCTGTACAACACTCCCCGGAGGGTCGCCTGGCCTCCCTCTCCCAGCCTTTAAGCAAAGCTGAGGCTTGCACCCCTCGTTCAGAGAGGAGGCGGCCAGCCCACACTTGGCCACCCCGTTGCTGGGTGGCTTTGGGCCAGTCACTGCCTCTCTCTGGGCCTCGCTGTCCTGTAGGTAAAAAAGCGGGTGGACTAGATTTCAGTGCCCCCTTCCCGCTCCAACAAGCCTTCGAGCCTCTTCATCTTTGGCCAGAGGAGGGGTGTGAGGGGCTGAGGGAGGGTTTAGGCCACAGTGATGCTCCCTCTTTCCCCAGGTTCACAGTGTAGAGTCCATGGCTCTGGTTCCTCAGTCTCTCTCTGAGTCTCTGGGGCCTTGTCATCACCCCAACACCATCCCTGGTGTCAGCCCCCCCAGCTCTGACACCTGCTATGGTGGGAGGAGCTGGCCCGCCTAGAAGTGTGGGGAGGAGGAGCGGAAGGCTGGAGATGGTGAGGGGCAGGGGCAGGGTGGGCAGGCAGCAGGGGCACTTCTGGCGCTGCAGAGGGAGTGTGGTCGAAGCGATGGGGCCACAAGGGGTCAATGGCAGGGCTATGGTTTAGGGGCCTGGGCTCCACAGCCCTGCCCACAGGAGCTCAGCTCTGATGCTGGCCCCCCGGGGGTTGGCTGGAGCATCAGTCATCGGAATGTGGGGCAGGGCAGGGCTCCCGGGTCAGCTCACACAGGGGACGTGGCGGTAGACTCGCTGCACAGGCTCTCCACGATGTCGGCTCGCTGGATGCGGCGCAGGGCAGCCAGGAGGGCGTCGAGCGTGGCGCTGTCCTGGGCGGCCCAGCTGGCGAGCAGGGCGCGGACAGGGCAGGCCTCGTGGGTGAAGGAGTCTATGTGCTCAGGCTGGTAGCCCAGCTCATCTGCCAGGTGCCGCCAGGTGTCCCCCGCAGAGCCATTGAGCAGCTTCTCCACCTCCTCCCGCTTGGCCGGTGGCAGGCTGCTGTAGAGGCCTCCATCCCCCTTGAGGGCTGCCAAGAACCAGGGGGAATCAGACACTACCCGCCAAGCCCTGGGCGCCCCTCTGCCCTTCCCCGGGGCCTACAGGCAGAGGGATGGCCAAGATGGGGTCCTGGATCGGTGGGGGAGTGGGGGGTGCAAGCTGTGGAGGAGGTCTGGGGGGATGCTGACTCATGAGCCTCCCCACCCAGAGTCCAGCACTATCTCCACCCCCTGACCCCTTTCGTCCCCCAGCAATTAATCAAGACAGAGGAGGAGACAAGACTTCTCAGTCCCAGACTCAGCTGTAGCAAGTGTCCTGGAGCTGGGCCGCTAATTAGGGGACATAATTAACTACTTGTTCCCCAGAAGTCCAGGGCAGGAGGCTAATTGCAGCCACTTGGGGGAGTAATTAGCCCTAGGGGGGACAATTAGCTTGATGAGTCTGGATGCTCCAGTTTGTCAAAGCCTCCATTTCTCAAGTCGCTCTGGGAAAAGGACTTCCCTCACCCCGACTCTCCCATCCTTCCACCCATCACCCCTAATGGCCCTGCTTCAGTCCCCGGCTCACCCTGGCCCGCGGCCGTCTGCGTGTGGGGCTGCTGGTCGTGCAGGCTCTGGCTGTCCACAGAGATGCCGCTGTCACTGTGGAGTTTTTCTCCCTCGGGCGGGGGTGTCTGGTTCACCGGCCGGCTGTTGGCTCCTTGCTTGTTCTGCTTGCAGCTGTTCCACCTGGAGCCAGAGGACAGGCCCAGCCTCAGGGGGGGTTGGGGGGGTGGAGGGGGGGGCGCACTGGCTAAGGCATCTGATGTGTGAGCCAGGGGCTCCCCGCCACGGTGCCTAAGGTTCCCCTTTCTCTGCATAGTGGCCCGGGCCTACACAGAAAGCATTGTGAGGGCAGAGGGGCGCCCAGGGCTCGGTGCACACTGCAAGGGTTCAATACATGCTCCTGGGATGAATGACACATGAATAAATGACTTCCCAGAATTCCGCTTGCCCAATCTACTCTTGTAAAATGCTCGCACATGTGGGCAGGACACATGGAGTACAAGGACTTCCTCTGCTATTACAAGCACTAGGAAAAAGCGGCCAACAAGCCAAATGTCCATCCATAGGGAACTGGTTAAATACGTTATGACCCACCCATATTATTGCGTGAGTGGTTAGAAATGACCGGATAATCTGTATGTCTCAAGGAAAGCTCGCCTGAGGGAGATTGGTGAAAAGTAAGTTGTAGAATATGTAAGTGTGATCCCAGTGGTGCTAAACCTGCGCGTTTACATGCAACGAGAAAGTTTTATGTGCATGTGTTTATAAATGCACAGAACATGGTTGGAAGGGACTCAAACAGATTCCGATGATGAGAGGGGTAGGATTTGAGGAGATAAAAGGGAGCTTTTGCTTTTGGCTTCACAAGACATTACTCTTGTGTGCATTTTTCCCAAACAAGCCTATATTACTTTGATGTTTTGTTTCTTTTTAAGAATGAAAAATGCACTTAAACACTTTAAAATGCTTTCTGGCAGTCCTGGATTTCTGGATGTGGATGCCACAGCCCAAGTGTGACTTGGGAAGGAAAAGACGCATGCACGTGTAGGTACCTGTGTGGGTCAATGGGGTTCAAGGAATGAGGACAGAGGCAGTTGGTAGAGCAAGCCTACTGTGTGCAGCTCAGCTCCAGGCTGAGTCAGAGCGGGGAGAGCAGTGGGGGGCGGGGGGGGGGGCGGGAGGGAGTGGGCGGTGCTGACACCTGGAGGGACAGGGGCAGTCCCCCTCCCTGCCTGCTGACTGCCACGCCCGGGAGTGGAGCAGCTGATGGTGAGTGAGGATGAGCTTGCTTTGGGGTTAAGAGTGTCCGCCTGCATTTTCAGGTCAAGGTCACAGTAAAGCCCACCTTGAGAGCAAAGGTCTCCTCCTCTGCCCCGCCCCCTCACCTCTTGAAGGCGATGTAGGCCACGAGGCCCACAACCACCGCGGCCAGGATGGAGCAGTAGACGGGGATGAGGTTGTCGTTGGAGCCCCGGGTCACCACGGGCTGGGAGCTGCCCATCACTGTCGTCACCACGTCTGCCACTGTGCTGGCCACGAGGTCTGGGTCTGGAGGCACCTCGGGCTCCTGGGTGCTGGGGGCGGTGCTGTCCGAGCCCTCTGGGGGCGTGGCCCGTGTGGCCCAGCGGCCAGGGATCTCTGGGAGGGACGGTGACAGGATTGAGCGCCCATTCCCCTCAACCCTTCCCTTTGTGATCTGAGTCCCGAGTCCCCAGCCCACTCCAGGTGCTCATGTGCCCAGCTGTTACCCATATCGTGGAGAGCAAGAGCCTGGGACGCAGGAGACCTAGGTCCCCTCCATTCCCCGCCCATAGAATGGGGATATTAAGAGAGATGGTCTCTAAGCTCCTTTCCATCCCGGAGGTAGCTGTGGTCCTAGAAATTGGGGGCCCAGAACCTGGCACACAAAGAAGAGGGTGTCAGCCCCGGGAAGCCTCTAGCTGGAGTCACTCTGGGAAATGTTGTGACCTCTCTGGCCCTAGGTTGCCCCAATGGCCTCAGTCCCCCCTGTCCTAAGGAAGGATGAGGGTACTCGGGTACTCCCCTTCCCCAACCCCCTCCCAGAGCTGGCACTCAGCCTCCTTTCCAGTCTCTGTTGTCTTAGCTCTAGGCTTGGGCAGGGCGGGGATGCCATGCGAGCTTGCTTCCAGCCAGCCAGTCCTTGGACAGCGGCTAGCCGTTTCCTGCCCCGCGTGGCCCTCGCACCCTCTGATCGTGCCACCCAGGGAAGAGTATCAAGTAGCCGGAACCCTCCCTGGGCAGGAGGCAGGCTGTTGGTGGAGAGAGGGCGGGTGAAGCAGGTACTGCCCAGCACCTCGGGGGACGGAGACCGTGCCTCGCCACCCACCTAGGCCTTCTCATGCCAGCTGGGTATTGCCAGCCTCTCTGGCAGGGGACCCAGGGACCTCCTGGCACCAGTGGGCGGGATTTTCCACTCTGTCACCCAGCTGGGGGCAGTTCCCGGGGGTGTGGGCTCTGATTTGCCTGGGGGTGCCTGTCTGGGCAACGCTGCTTACCGGATCCATCTTCACTTCCCACTCCTAAGGCAGGGGGGGGGGGGGGGGGGGAAGCAGACGGGACATACCGATGGGGTGATGGGGAAGGTGCTCTGCCCTTTAGCTCAGCCTCACCCAGCTCCCAGTTTGCCCACCCAAGTTGGAGTCAGAGCTGCCCAATGGTCTCTGGGCCTCCTGGCTCCAGACTAGGATGCTTCAAAGAGCCTTGTTTTCAGCACCTTCTGAGGGGTGAGGCCCCCAGATGTGAATCTGGAATCCATTTGGCTGGCACTGGAAAGGGGACTGCCATCTGCTGCCCCATTCCCCCAACTCAGTGCTGGGAGGGGGCGGGGCAGAAAAGGGAGGAGACATAGCCCTGTCTTTCATAGCCCCAAAGAGGGCATTTGACCCAGGAGGGGGGTGGGGCTCCTCTTGTCCTGCTAGGGAACTGGGGAGGGCAGCCTGAGCCCTCAGATGACCCCACTCATCAGCTGAAGGTGTGTGGCGGTGAACCGGACCATCGCAGTGGGGAAGGGCTGCGAGCGGGTGGCAAGGGACAGGCCGGGCTGAAGAGAGAGCTGTCCCGGGCATTTCCCCACATTGCTCCAATCCCCCCGGTGGGGGCTGGGGATGAGATCCAGATGTGGCCATGTCCACTAGCATTCCAGCCCCTAAGCCCTTGGCAGGTCCTGACAGCCGTTTCCGGAATGGGAGCTGCCAGACTTGGGGGTGGGAAGAGGGACCAGGTTAGGCAATGGGGGGGGGGGGGTCCTGCCCCAAGGGTGGGTGAGTCACCATGTTGACACCTGAAATGTATATGCGAGAAAGTACAATGCACTGCAGGGGAAGGGGCAACCCAGTGAGTGAATCAAATTCCGTTTCCTGAAGGGTCCCTCTGCCCCCGAGCCCACACGTAACCCTTCAGAGGCTCGCGTAGAGGGGCAGAGGGTAAACACAGCTCTCAGGGGACCTTCCCCCTTCAGGGTGGCTGGGAAAGTGGGGTGCGATCTGGGAGGGGTCTATGAGTGCCCCCAAGAGGCAGAGCCCACCCCTCCCCCAGCCACCACCTTTCTTTGCTTTAACCGCGCCGCTGACTAAGTCCCCCCACCAGCCGGTCTGGACCTGCCCAGGGAGCTGTGCTGGTGCCTGCCTGTTGCCAGCAGCTGAGACTCCCTCCCTTCCCTGCGCCTGGCGCCACTTGCCTGTCTCCTGGCCCAGGGCAACCGGAACCACCGGAACCACCATGTTCTGTATGCCCATCCTCTTCCCACCCCCCAGCCCAATACAAGGAAGCGTCACACACACACCTGGCTCAGCCCAACTGAACAGCCCCTCGGCCTGAGCCAGAGATCATGGAGGAAGGTTGTGTGGGAGCCAATGTCAGACTGCAGGCTCCCCACAAGGGGGACCTCCCCCCCATCTGACTGGGGACCGACTGAAGGCAGAGGCTGTGCTGCCGCCACCAGAATGAGGGCTCTCCTGGGAATGGGTGCTGGGGCCTTGACGCCCTCATCAGACCAGGCCAAGGCTGTCTCTCTCCCATCACACTTGGGGTGATGCAAGGAGGTGCTTCACGGCCTGCTGGGTATCCTGAGGGTTAGGGGAGTAGCTATGAGGCCCGGCCACAGGGTGAAGCATAGCCGGCCTCTCCCTGCAGCGGAAAAGCCCGCCCATCTCCCCGAGACAGGGCACCAACCAGAGACCCAAACCGTCTGTTCTCACTGCCACATGCTCTCCTCCCATCCCAGAATCCACCCCACCTCCTTCGGGCCTGGGCCTGGCTCAGGGGGGCACACACAACTCCCTCCCACCCTCCTCTGGGGGCTGGTGCGGGGCTGAGGCCTCACTGCACCCCGCCTCTCATCCTGGGGCTCCTGCCACTCCCCCTCCACCCCAAAGTCCCACGCCCACGGCTTCCTTAGTGTCCCCGGGTCCAACTTCACCCCCGACTAAACAGAAAATTACTGTAGACATGCCCCCTCCCAGATACCACAGGTTGAAACAGACAGGCCGCCTTCTCTAACCCACAGCACTGCCCAGTGAGGAAATGGGGTCCCAGACGGGAGTGACCTCTCCAACGACTATCCCTCAGGTAGCAAGTGACAGGGTGGATTCCGCCTTAGGTCCCAGAGCCACCGACCGCCATGGACCTAGACCAGGCCTCCCTGCGAAGGGGCCCAGCTCCTGGTCCTCAAGCCCCTTTTCCGGTTCAGGAAGCCGCTCTGAGCTGTGGTCACAGTGGCCACTGCCGAGCTGCTTATCTGCCACCTGCCCAGTGCCAGCGGTCAGCCAGATGTGGCAGCTGGGCCTGGGAGGAGGAGGAGGATGGCTTTCCAAGTCTTAGCTCAAAGGAGGGAAGAGGGAGAGGGGGCCTTTGGTGAGAAGGATCGGGAGCCACCCCTCCATCAGGTCTCAGGGAAGGTGGTCCCCGCTCAAGCCAGGCCTGGCCCTCCCCGGGCCCCAGGGGGCGCCCTTCCCCAGCCTGCGGCCACCCGTAGTGGGGGGCCAGGACCGGGACCGGCCCGCGGCGCGCTCACCCTCGCACTCGGCGTCGGCCCAGCGCGTGCACTCGCGCAGCTGGCGCTCGGTGTCCTCGCACACGGTGCAGGGCAGGCACGGGTCCACGTGGTTGGCCTCGTCGGAGTACGTGCCGTCGGGGCACTCCTCGCACACGGTGTTCTGCTTGTCCTGGCAGGAGTACACGAGGCCCGAGCCCGCCTCGCACACGCGGCACGCCTCGCAGCGGCCCGTGGTCTCGTTCTGGTAGTAGCCGTAGGCGCAGCGGCACACGGCGTCGTCGGCCTCCACGCAGGGCGCCGACATGCTCTGCAGCCCCACGCACTCGGTGCACGGCTTGCAGGGCTCCGTGGCGCTCACCACGTCGGAGAACGTCACGCCTGCGGGCGAAGGGATGTGGGGGAGCTCTCGTGGGCCCAGATTTCAGTCGCCTGCCTGTTGGGCAGCTGGAACGCAAGGGCTGCAGGCCCCTCCCTCCCTCCCTCCCCCACCTCTGCCAGGGCCTCTGCCAGGGCGCTGACTCCCTGGTTCAGCCTCGCCCCCTCATGGATTCCCACCCTCTCTCTCCCCTCGGGGCCCTGCTCCCAAGTCTGGGAAAGCTTGTGGCTACCCACTGGGAACGAGGCAGGGGACCAGGAGCCCCTGCTCCAGGCGGGGAAGCCGTGGCCCTGAGGCTTGGTGGGGTAACTCGGCTGGGGCAGGTAAATTACTTGGCAAATTCTCTTAGAGAGTTCCCAGCAAGATTAAGGAATAATCTACAGGTGGTTCCCACCCAGCCCTCCCCGCAGGCCAGAGCTGGATTGTGAGCCCGGCCCAGGCATGGAGCCTCCTGCCTCAGCTGCCCTTCCACAGGTGAGGGGGGGGGGGGGGAGCTCAGGTGTGGCCCCAATGGGAGTAACTAGGGTTGGACAGCTTAAGTTCCCACCCATGGCGCTCCCCCACGCTGCTGAAAGGCTGGAGGGTAGGATGGGGATCCTGGCAAGCAAGTTCAGGTACAGCAGGAGGGACTGGAGCTAGAAAGAAAGAAGGACTTGCATATATCGTCCTCTGCCCTTTCAAAGGCCATAGAGGGGAGATTTCCAAGCTCACTCCTAAGGCAGCTCTCTTAATAATGGGGGGAGGGGTGCCAGGTCCTCTCCTTCTGGTGCAGAGAAGAGGAGGCCCAGGCTGGAGAACTCGTGCCAGTCTGAATCCAGGAGGATGCATCCTTGCTCCCAGGGGAGGAAGAGCAGGGGTTTAGCGACCTGAGAACCAGGGAAGGTCTGCTCAGAATGTGGAAGCAGAAGTGGAGAAAGTATCAGACGCCACTGAAAGGAAATCAAGGCCTGTTGTGGGGTCTGATCACAGCCCTCTCTAAAGGCCCCAAGAGACAACCTGGAGCACTTGGTGGGTGGGGGGTGAGGGTGGGGGTGGGGGGTAAAGAAGCAAAGAAGAAAGCCAGACAGAGGTGAAAGGGGAATAAATTGGGGGGAGAAGAGAGCAGAGTCTGTTCTGGCAGAGGGAGCCCTGTATTTCTCTTCCTAGGAATCGGGCAGATCTGGATTCAAAACTGCTTCCGTCACTTATTAGCTGTGTGACTCTGGGTGTTTTACGTAACCTCTCTGAGCTTTTTTCTTTCTCTGTAAAATAGGGAATAAAATATCTCCACTCACACGGTTGTGGTGAGGAATAAGTGGAATTCCACTGCAAAGCGCTTGACACACAGGGATCTATAAAGGTCGGGCCCCTGGGGTGGGCAGTGATAAGTATGGTGAACTTCAGTCAGACAGCAGAAAGGACTTCCAACACAATCAGCCGAGGCAGGACTTACTTCCAGTTTAGATAAACAAGAGGCTCCTATCTGGTTGGCATGTGGTGGGGGGCCGAGGGGGGCGGGGTAGAGTCACCCTGAAGGGGAAGGGAGGGCCTTGCTCATGGGAAAATACAGAAAATTTGCAGAAAACTCCTGGGAAAGGGTTTTAAGGGGTGGGGAAAATGTGGTCTTTTTTGGCAGAGAATGAAGGCAGGAACTTAATGGGTTTCCTTGTGGAAACGTTTAAGGATAGAAAGTCCACTGGGGTCTCTATTCCATAAAGTGGGCTTGTAAAGGCAGCCTGTTAACGCAGCTGCTGGGGAGTGAGGGGAGGAGGGAAGAGGAGGGGGGCAGGAGGAAATGGGAGGGAGGATTCCTGCCACCACCTCTGAGCTTGCTCCCCTCCCGGTCCCAGAACCTCCCTCCCCCAGGCTCCTCTACCCCACCCTTTGCTTTCACGGAAGATGAGTGGGGACCCATCGGGGAGACTTCGGGTCCAGGGAGGAGAGGCCCTGGGATGGAGTCTAGGAAGTGAGAGAGGCAGTCGTGGGAGCTTCCGGGGTAGGCAATAGTTGGCCAAGCCGTCCCTGGGATGGAAACCCTGTTAGGCTAGGGCCAGGGCAGGTGGCCAGATGACAGAAACATTACAGGATGTCCAGCCTCCCCACCCAGTCCCAGCATCCCTCTGCTGGGGGATGGAGTTGTAGGAATCATAAGCACAGAGAGAGGAAAAGAGTATGTTGGGGAACACCAAGGAGTTGTGGTTGTCTGAAGGATGGAGAGGTGTGCAGGGTTTTTCCTGTTTTGTTTTTAGATATATTCTTACTGATTTCAGAAAGGAAGGGAGAGGGAGAGATAGCAACATCAATGATAAGAATCATTGACTGGCTGCCTCCTGCACGCCCCACACTGGGGATCGAGCCCACAACCCAAGCATGTGCCCTGTCCCGGAATCAAACAGTAACCTCCTGGTTCATAGATCTACGCTCACCCACTGAGCCAGGCCGGCGGGGCACGCAGGTGTTGGTAGAGGTGGTGGGGAGGCATCCAGAGGTAAGAGTAGGCTGGCAGGTGGGTTCAGTCCCCAGTTGCTGTACCTGGTTCCCAGCCTGATTATAGAATAGCTGGATATGGTTACCACAGGCCCTTGGGATGGGCCGTGAGTGGCTGGGAGAAGGCAGATCTGATCTGACAGTGAGGAAAGCTTTCTGGGAAGGGTAGGCAACAGAGCAACTGAGCCCAGAGCCCGAAGACAGCGACTGAGGCTGGGGGCAGCCAGCAGAGCTGAGACCCCTGACTCCACAGCACACAGATTCCAGACCAGACGCACCACCCTGCGGCCTCCCTCACCCAGTAGGAAGACAGGATTCTCTCCCCTCCCCAAGGAAATCTCAGGTAGGAATGGCCACAGTGCCCCTCTCCCCACCAGAAGGCCATCCCTATAGTGCTCCACCCCTACCCCTGCTGCCTGGGGAAAGCTCTTCGTCCTTAGTCAGAGCTGGAGAACAGCTGGCCTGGGAGGAGGGGTAGCCACACCCTCCCAGGATCCCCCAAGGTCAGTCTCCAGGGCAGCCAGTATTTGATCCTCCTCCCCTCCCCCCAAAACACCGAGGGTAAGTGGCAGCCATTGATTTTGCAGTGCGGATGATATTTTTAGCTCGTCTTAGTGTCAGCTACTCCTCCCACCTGGCCACACTCTTCTAGCCAGCTTCTCTGCTTGGGGGCTGGGAAGGGGCTCCCCCTTGGGGTCCCCCATCAGGCCCCCTCCTTCCTCTGCATACCTCTCTCATCCATTCTCAGCTTCCCCTTTCTGCCTCCTATCCTGCATCAGACCTATGTCCGGTGCCCATGCAGCTGTGGGCAGGAGACCCTGCCAGGAGGCAGAGGACTTGTAAGGCCTCTCTTCCCCAGCCCCGGCCCCTCCCTTCCATTCCTCTCCCCTCTCCCCCACCTGCCACCCTTTACTCACTGTCCAGGCAGGGCTCACACACGGTCTGGTTGGCGCCACAAGGCTGGGCCACACCCTCTCCAAGGTAGCAGGCTTTGCAGCACTCGCCGCTGTGGGTGTACAGGCCCGTGAGGCACGCCTCCTGGGCACTTCCGAAGGACACCTGGGTCGGGGGAGATCAGAAGGTCAGACTGGCAGGAGAAAGGGGAGGGGGTATCTTCCGAGGAATCAAACATCCCTCCCCAAAGCCTCCTATTGGAACCACCTGGGACCGGATGAGCTCACCGGGGAGGTATTAGGCACATCAAAGCTGGCCGGAAGAAAGGCAGTGGGGGGCAGTGCACCCCTGCAGGCTGCTGGGGGTGTGAGGTCAGAGCCTCCCAGGCTGACCCTCTGCACAGTTCATTTCGGGGTCACAGCAGCTCTTGGAACCTCAAGGAGACACCACATGGAGAAGAAGGCTTGAGGCCCAGCGGAGGACCTTCAGGTTGCAGCTCGCACAGGGCTTCCAGCCAAGGGGGCAACTGGCAGCTGAAATTTAGTCCAAATGCCACTGCCTAAGCTTCGCACCTGCAGGGCTGCATCTGCCCGGAGGGGAGCCTTTTTCTAACAAAGGACAGCAGGGCCCTCCCTACTCCAGGTCCTCCATTCGAAAACCATTCCGCATATTATATATCCAGCAGAAGGCCGAGGGGTGGCGTCTGGGGTTCAAATCCGGATTCTGCATTGGGAGCTCTGGCCTGCCCTGCTCTCCCTCTCTGTCTCCATCTCTCCAGCTAGATAGAGACGGCTACCGCTCAGGGCCAGAGCAAAGACCGGCCAATCGGCAAGAGTGTGGCGCCAAGATGTGAGAAAGGGTCCACTGTTATCAATGATGAGAAAGTGGCGGCTGTCATCACCCGGCAGTCCAGCTCCACGAGGGTTTGATTTCCAGTCACCAGCCCTCCCCACTCCCTGCCCCCTATGCAGCCAGTGGGAACAGCTCTGGAACGAGGGGAAAGGGGAGTTAGATTCCTGCCGCCGAGGCATCTTTGCTCATGGATGGAACAATTTAGCACCAGATTCCCTAGAGGAAGGGGCTGCTGGCAGCTTGCTTTATATTTCTGCTCCTTAAAAAAAAAAAAAAAACTTCATGTCTAATAAAACTCCCAAGCCCGTTTCCCTGGCCCCAGACCACGCAGCTCCCACTTGATATCGACAGGAAGTGTGGGCTCTCAGGTCGTGGGAGCAGAGGGAGCCTTAAAGGTCCTTTTGGACATCCCTCCGCTTCCTCGCTGACCAGGTCATGGCCAAGAACACTCCCCTCGCTCCAGACCTTTAAGCTATCCTGAGATCTCACCAGGGTTAGGTGGAGGCAGGGGGGTGGACAGATTGGATGGGTCTACGAGGCAGCCTTTGGTCCTCAAGAGACCAGCAGGGAGGGTGCAGGCAGCACAGGAGGGGGGACCTCGGGTGTTGCCACCATCTCCTCCCAGGTGGCAGGAACATGGTGCTGGGAACATCTGCAGACCAGAAGTCTCGCGGGTAGGCGGAGTCCCAGATACAGGCTTTCCCCAGGAGGCGCGTGAGATTATAGGAGAGTCTGTTTGGGTTTCTTTTCATCCTTTAGGGCTCCGTTTAAGTATCACTTCCTCAAGGAAGTGGGCCAGTGTCTTCCCCACCCCCACCCCCACCCCCCAGATCAGGCGGGCTGCCCGGTTACACGTTCTCCCTGTGGACTATTCGTGTCTGCTCTGACACTTCACAGGATCCCCCACCGGACTGTCAACTCCCTGAGGGCCAGGCTGTTGTCCCAGAGTCTGGCAGGGTACCTGGCACTAAACAGGCAGCTCACTTAACTAGAACTCGGCGGAATGACTTCTGGATGGCCGAGCTTCCCGAGAGCTAAGGCGCTGCTGCTCTAGTCACCTCCTGTTTTCCATTTTCACCAGAGTGGCTGCACCTTTCCCCGACTGGAACATAGCTTCATGGTTTCCCCGTGACTCAGAGACTCAGTATTCACACCCGTGATTATTCCGGGCTGCTGTGCGGTGAAGCCCTTGTGTTCTTTATCCCAAATTACTACCACACGATCGTCTCTTTCAGTTCTCCTTTCAGCTTCTTCTGCCCTGACCGGTTTGGCTCAGTGGATAGAGTGTCGGCCTGCGGACTGAAGAGTCCCAGGTTCCATTCCGGTCAAGGGCATGTACCTTGGTTGCAGGCACATCCCCAGGAGGGGGTGTGCAGGAGGCAGCTGATCGATGTTTCTCCCTCATTGATGTTTCTAACTCTCTATCCCTCTCCCTTCCTCTCTGTAAAAAAAATCAATACAATATATTTTAAAAAATAAAATACTTTTTCTGTCTCCTCCCTTCCTGCTGAGATATCAGTGGGCAGCTCTTGCTGCTACCAGAGTGTGACCTGTGTGGCCCCTCCCACATCATTCTAACCTTCTAGGTCTCAGGGGATCTTTGGGAACTATGGCACTAGCCTCGGTAGGAAGGTGTATGAAATGAGTGCAAGGAGGCTTCGAACCAGGAGGGGCAATTCTCGGAGTAGAAAGTGTGAGCTAGCTACACTGCTCTCGTCCTCAGCGGCCTCTGTGGCTCTGTATCCTGGCTCATCGCTTTGCACTAGGCGATCTGGGGCCAGTCTTGAATTTCTCTGTGCCTCAGTATCTTCTGCATTAGGTCATTAAGACCGGACCTGCCTCATAAGAGTGCTGTAAGCATTACATGAATGAGTAAGGTGTTCATACGCTTGGGAAATCTCTTTTCTCTTTTCCGAGGTCTTTCTTTATTTTCTCTATTTCCTAATTGGCAAGTGACTTTATTTATTTTTTAATTACATTTATTGGGGCGACATTGGTTAATAAGATCATATAGGTTTCTTTAAAAATCTTTTTTATTGATTTCAGAGAGGAAGGGAGAAGGAGAGAGAGAGATAGAAACATCAATGATTAAAGAGAATCATTGATTGGCTGCCCCCTGCACACCCCTGACTGGGGATCGAGCCAGTACCAGGATTGGAACTGTGATCTCTTGGTTCATAGGTTGAAACTCAACCACTGAGCCATGCCGGCTGGGTAAGATCATATAGGCTTTAAGTGTATATTTCTATGATACGCAATCTGTATATTGCATAATAGTCGTCGAAGTGGCAGCCTTGTATAAGCCCCTCTTCCTCCATCTTCTTTCAGGCCTGCTCTTCCTGCTGCAGCTGGTGTCCTTTCTCCTCTCCCAACTCTTGCATTTGGAATCGAGTCCATGTAATTACTGACCATGTATTTCCTGTGCTTGTTTTATGTTCCCTATTTCAAAACACCCTAGATCTGCTTCTTCATAGTATGTTATTTGGGGTAAATTCTCAATCACTCTGAGCCTCAGTGCTTCCCTCCCCCCACCCCACCCCCCAATCACACTGGGCGCTTGTATCTGCTGCGCAGGGTTGCTGTGAAAATGAAGTGAAATCATTTATGCAAATCTGTCTGGTGTATAGTAGGAGTTAAATAACTGTTAGGTATCAAAGAAGCATCTTGTCTTGGGGAGAGCAAGCTGCTGAGCCGGGGTGGGAGGTAGTGGGAAGGGAGCGTTAGCCACCCCCTAAAAGAGGAAACCATGTAAGAGTCAGGGGCAGGGTAGACATGAAGCAAGTCTTTGCTCCCAGGGAGTCTGAGGACGGCATGGGGACCAAAGGAGGATGGGTAATTGCTCTTCTTGAAGTTAAGTAATTCAACAACTATTTACTGAGCATTGGAATAAGAGTTTCCAATGCGACATGGTCCCTGATTTCTGTGGGGAACCACAGTCCCATGGGGAAAGGAAATGTCACCCAAACAGCCATTCTAGAAGCCAAGATGCTGAGGGGGAAAGACTTGAGGGATTGCCTTCATCCCCTCTCTGACGGATGGGGAAACTGAGGACCACAGAGGTCCCTCTGCTGCGTGGCTGATGCTTGGTCCTGGCCACACCTTCTATTGGTTCACGCCAGGGCAATCTTGGGAAGCCGGGAGGGATGACTAGGATCCAGGCTAATTGTTCCAAAATGACCAATTTACCAAAATGATAGATGCATTGCCTGAGATTTACGTGATTACATTTATTCATTTCCCGTTTGAATGATTTCATCCCATGTTTTGAAAATGTATGCAATCTTTTTATTTATTTATTTTGCCATTTCAAGGCGTTCAAGAAACTAAGGTGGAAGTACTCTTAGATAAACTGATTTAAAAATCCAAAAAATGCTTTTTTAATTAGACAAAATAGAAAGCACACCAAAAATAGTTGAAAGAATTGAATATGAATGCTTCAGTGTGTTGAATCCTAACTGTTCACAACAGCTTCAGCAAAGGGTTCTTTAGGTGAATGGAGCCATCAGCCACGCCATGGGGTTGAAGAGTTTTCACATATGGGCAGGGTCTTTTGAGGTCGCTGCAAACCTGCGGGGCGGGGGGGGGGGGGGGGCGCTGGCACATGCTCCCCACCCCTTCAGACGGGGGTTGAGTCTGGGTAGGGGACAAGAGCTCATGACGGAGGAGGATGCTGCATGGGGACTCTGAGAGGGCTGTGCTGCGTGGGGCCAGGGGACTCAGTTCCAAATGTGTGGGCATAGGACACCGATGCAACCTCCAGGGCCCGTCACGCCCTCCGTGATCGAGAAAGGGGCGGGGCTGGCGTAGGGAGGACAGAGTAAGCTCCAAGCCACGCCTCCTCGGTTCCAAAGCCTCCACCACTTCCTAACTGCGGGAGCCTGGTTTCGGGCCTGAAAGTCTGGGAGGTTCGGCTCCATCAACTGTAGAACGGGAATAACTAGATTTACGCTGATGGCACCTTAGGAGGGTTCACTAATGCAAGAGAAATTACCCAGGCAATGAGCCGCACATAGTAGGCACTCAGCCAATTTTATTTCCGCGCCCGCCCCTCCACCCCGGGTAAGAATCTATGCACGTGAGTGGGACCGGGATGGTACAGCCGGGTGGGAACCCCTTCTCTCCTCCCCGCCCGGCCGCTCGCGTCCTATTTGCTGCCCTCGCTGCATCCCTATTAGGCGCATTAGCCAGCCCGGCGGCTCCGGTTACAGACGTCTGAATGACAAAGTGCCTCCATTACCGGCGCGCCCGCCCGCGGACCCGCCGGGACGCGCTCTGGTTTCAGCGCGCTCGCTCCGCTCCGGCCCTGGAAGAACTCGGAGCGCGCGGTGCGCACAGCCGGCCCGGGAGCCGCGAGGCGGAGGCGAGAGCCGCAGGGGCTGCAGGCGGCAGACTGCGCGGGTCCACTTCCCCCAGCCCCCAGGCCCTCCACGCCCAGCTCTCCTCCTTCCTCGCCTCTCCTCCACTCGGGGGACACCCGCCCGCCCCTCCGGGATCCACACGACTACTGTCCACCCCAGTCCCACCTCCCGCCCCCTTCCCGGTGGAGAAACGCCTCTCGCCCGCGGCGTTTGCCAGCAGAGGTGCCCGCCGTCACTCCCAAACCCTCGGATGAAGCCACAGGTATCCACCGCTAAGCCGCGGAAAGGGGGGCCTGCGCCCGAAGAAGGTCTCGGTCCCCCCAGCCTTCATACCCCACCGCTGGCCTGACCCGGGATGGTGTCCAGCCCGCCCCGCCGCCGGGAAACGCAGCTCCCTGCCGAGCTGGGGCGCCGGGCTGCCCCTTCCGAAGGTACGGGCAGTGCCGGGCTGGGAATCGGGTGCGGGGCAGTGCAGCCCGGACTCTGGCACAACTGGCGGTGGGATCCTAGCCAAGTTGTTTAACCTCTCAGAGCCTCAGCCTCCGTATCAGTCAGAGGGGGACCAGGGGCGCGATGCTCCGATGAGGGGTGAAGATGTCAGGGAGAGTGAGGACACCCCCTCCAATGCCAAACCCCCGGGGCACTCCGCTCGTGGCCACACACCAGGTCACCCATCCTGAATATCTTGTCAGAACTACAGGGCGGACTAGATGCTTCAGAGGACCGCAGTCCTTCGCCCAGACAGAACCGGGGCGTCCGAGGCACCTCTGTCTCGTTCAGGGCTCAGCGTCTGAAACCGAAAGTTGGGCCGGGCAGGGGCGGAATCCCCACCCGCCCGGGTGCCGGAGCCGAGGGAACGGCGGGCGCGGCGCTCAGGTCACTTAACTTAATGGGGGGCGGGTGCGCAGCCCCAGTGGCGCCCGCAGCTGCGGAGGGCGCAACCCTCGTACCGCAGCGCCCCCTGGGGGCCGCCTCCGCCTCCGCGACCCTGGGCTGCGCGCTGCCGGGACTTTCCCCTCCCGGCGCGGCCGGGGCGCTCTGCACCCGAGACCCCGCGGCCGCCAGACCCGGTCGGACGACGCCCACTCCATCCCCTCCTGTCCGCCGCGCTTCTTCAAAACGCGAAACTAAGCGCCTCGGAGCAGCCCGTGGGTTGGGGACAGGGTTCGCCCCGGCGAAGTGGGCGCTCCCTTCCCAGACTCCCGTCCCCCGCGCAAATCCCCGACTGGGCGAGGCCGCCAGAAAGAGCGCACGGAAAAGAGGGAGCGGAAAAGCGGAAAACGGCCCTTCCTCTGCTCCTCTTCGCCCCCCACTGCCCCTCGGCACACCCGCGGGGCCCCACCACCTTAGGGGCCGCTCTTCCTTCTCCGTCCTTTCATTTTGCTTCCATCTCTCTACCTCTCTCGCCGCCGTTCCTCTTTTGCCCTACCCAACCCACTTTTCTCTCTTCACCCGACGACCCCCACTCCCCGAGGCTCTGCCTCCCACGCCCCTCCCCCCATTGTCTGGCCAGTCCCCATTGTCCGCTGCCCGGTCCCCTCGGTCGTTCCAACCTCCTCCCCATTGTTCCAGCCCCGCATCTCCAGCCCCACTTGCCCCTCACATCTCTAGTCCCCGTCGCATTCCTCATCCTTCTCTAGCCTGGGTTCTGTCCCACGACCCCCCAGAAATCAAGATGCTGGGGGGGGGGGGGAGTCGCCTTGAGGTCCTGGCATTCAAGCGCCCTCTTCCAAGGAACCCAGGTTCCCAGAACCGCAGGACCCCCTCCTCTGAGACCCTCCCAGCACCTCCACACCCACACACCCAGGTTCCGGAGTGCCCGCATCCGTGCGCACCTCTGGTCCGCATCTCTACCCTGGATCTCAGGGTCTCCTCTGCGCCCTGAGAACCCTAGACGCTCCTCCGTGGACCCTGGCATCGGAGTTCCTCTCCCGCCATCCATCCCCAGCATCTGGGAGCCCAGCGCTTGGTTCTGTTTTCCCTCGGGGAAACCTGGACCCCTAGGGTTCCGGTCCAGGGAAAGAGAACGGGCGCCCCTCCGGCTAGCACTCACCCCCAGCAGCAGCAGCAGCAGGCGCGGCGGGTCCATGGCGCAGCCGGCGGCACCTGCCCCCATCGTCCGCCTCCCGCGGCCACGCCGACTTCCAGTTAGTCGCGCTGCGGACCGATCGGGCTGCGCTGCTCCGGCACCCGCCCCCCGGAGCTGGCGGAGGCTCCACTCCCTCTGGCTGCGGGCGGGAGGGGCCGGGAGAAGCCAGTGCGGCGGCCCCGCCTCCTCCCCGCCCAGCCCGCCCACCCCCGGAACCTTGCCCGCCTGCTCCGCTGCCTCCGGGAGGGGAGAGAAGGGAAGAGAGGGTGTGCGGCGAGCTGCGGCCGCGCGCCCCGCTGCCGTTTCTCATCGCCCTAGCCCTCAGGGCCTCTCCCTCACCTCGCCCCGGTACCCAGAGTGCCAGGCCCACCCCAGGGCACGTCTGTCCCGGATACTGTGGGCCCTGGACCAGGGCGGCTCCCATTCCCCTCCGGCTGCGCCCACCCGCGGGACTCACTCTCTTACCCATCTTCCTCTGCCCTCCATCCCCAGCGCCTGGCCTCAGCTTCTTCCTGGTGTGCTGCTCTCTACCCAGCCTTTATCAGCAAGATGTCCACTGCCCGCCCTGCCCTTCCTCCTCTGGTCCAGACCCTACCTCTGCCCCTTCCCAGTGCAAAGGCCTAGGAGGAGGGGAAGGGAAGAGTAGCAGGTGGCTATTTGAATGAGGGGGGTGGCATTCAAGGGGGAGTCCATCCCTACATCATTCTCAAATGATGGGTTTGAAGGGATCTCAAGTGTGCACACATAACACAGGAAGACACACAGTCTCAAGTTCACATACTTATGTACCACATATGCCCACACCATCCTCATGCACTCATGTAGACCTGCATGTCCTACATATGTGTGTGCACCTCCACACTCAAGCACACACGCACACTCATTGTACATGTGGTCATAACAAACACGCATGCTCACCTACACATTCACACAGGCCTGTGTGCATGTAGTCACCACACAAGTCCCATGTGCATAGTCGCTTGCACAAATGCACACACATTCATGCGCGCGCGCGCGCGCACACACACACACACACACACACAGATGTACCCTCAGCAGCATACCTTTACTAGGCCAGATGTTTCCATTAGCTTATGACTATGGTTTCTTATTGGAATGCCTGGTGCACAGGACTAGTAAGTGCTCAGTAAAGGTCTGTAGAAGAGAATAAATGGGAAAGCGGTTGGATGGACTCACATCCAAGTACACATCCGTGTGCTGTGCTATCATCTCACACTCACCATGTCCCAGAAGCCTTGACAGGTCCAAGTCAGGGAATGTGCCAGCCGTCTTCTCACCACCACCGTGATGCTCGCCATGGCCTGGCCCCACCCTTTCCTGGTTCCCAGATATGAAGGCCCAGTAGCACATGCGGGGGGCATGTCTACAAAGTCCATCCCAGCCCCCTGATCTTGAACATGTGTGTTTGCGTATGGGTGTAAGTGTGTGTGTGTGTGTGTGTGTGTGTGTGTGTGTACCTCAGTTTTGACTTTGAGAAAAAAAAAAAAATAGTGCTAATCTCCCAAGTTACCGGAAGGAGAGATCAGTGCCCTTGTGAAGAGGACATGCTGGCAGTTGGTCGGTGATTTCCTAGATCAGCTGGAGGTCATTCATTCATTCATGCAGGGAAATTTTTGCCCCGTGAATTTCTTTCCTGGGCAACCAACTAAGTCCGGGGGCAGACCCAGGAAGGACAGGTAGGCATCATTGTGCACGAATGTGGACAAGCCACCACCTGGCTGGCTGGCAGAAGAGGCCAGGAAGCCAGCCCATCTTCAGAAATCCCCGAGGAGTCCCTCCTCTGGGACAGGGACCTACCTCTGGGCTGTTTCCCTTTCCCTCGGCTTTTACGGCCCATCCTTTCCTTTCAGCTGAATTCATGGAAGGCAGGAAGGGGCAACATTAGTACTAACAGCAGCAGTGCGCTGCTTACTACCAAGGGTATACATGGTGTGGCATTAATTTAAATCCTCCTGTTATTAATTTATGATCCCAGTTATTATTATTGCCAAGGTTATCCATCTCGACACAATTTAATATGACCCACAGAACCATGGCTGAGCCGGGGTTATTAATAATTTCCATGGCATGATCATTTAAGCCTTACTCGAACAATTACAAGGAGCAATTGTTACTATTATTAGCAGTGTTCCTATGAGTAAGCCCACACGCACGACCACGATGAAATGCTGAGTGCTGGTGGGGAGAGTGGCTCTGCAGAGTACATGGAGGAAGGAGCACTGAACTGAGAGTCAGGCCAACCTGGCTATAAAAGCCTACACAGCTCACCCCGCCCCGCATGGCTTACTCCTGGGCGGCTGTAGGCAGGTTAAGCCATCTCTCTCTGTCTCCGTCTCCTCATCTATAAAATGGGAATTTTAAAAAAGATCCTATCATGAATGGGCATGGTGACTAACAAATGAGGTAACCGTGTTCATCACAGAGAGAGGCTCCATCCCCTTTTACTCACTCAACGCATATTTATGGAGCACGCAATACAGGGCGCACACTGTTCTAGGCACTGGGGACTCAGCAGTGAACCACAGCAGCTGCTTCCAAGGAGCTGAGGTTCTAGTGTGTGTAGGTATGTGATGTGACGGATTATTTTAGGATGTGACACCTCGGCTTGACCATTGTGTAGATAGCACAGCTGCGATCAGGATGTTCCTTTGCTGGGACCACCACGGTGACCACAACCACCATCACAGCCACCTATACCAAAACCAGCACCACCATGACCACCGTCATCATGACACCAGCATCAATACCAGTAACACCGCAGCTACGCTGCCATCACTTCCACTCCCACCATCTTCCCCATCGCTACCATGACTGCCACACCATCGGCACCACCATCCCCATCATCATCACAGCTGCCAGGGTCATGGCCACCACCACCACCTGCCTTCCTTCATCTGCACCATCACAAGCAGCAGGGATTCCTGCTCCTAAGGGATCCGCCCCTTCTCCTTGGAGCAATATCAGAGGCCCTGTGGAGACACTGCCTGCCTGATCTTAATTCCCTAAGAGTCGTGACTCTGGGCCTCAAACATGAGTGTCCTTCAAACATTTCTCCCCAGCCCGGCCAGTGTGGCTCAGTAGTTGAGCATCAACCCATGAACTGGGAGGTCATGGTTCCAGTCCAGTCAGGGCACATGCCTGCGTTGCAGGCTCTATCCCCAGGAGGGGGCATGCAGGAGGCAGCCGATCAATGATTCTCATCATTGATCTCCCTCACCCATCCTCTCTCTGAAATCAATTAAAAATATATTTTTTTAACAAAAAATTTTTTAAAATAAATTTCTCCCTGAGCCAGCCCCCTTGCCCCTAATCCTGAGCACTTGCAGCCGCCACTGTAGGATGGGCATGGGAGTGGGCTTGGGAGCTGACCAGCAAGTGGGATCAGACAGGCAGCGTCAAGGAGGCAGCTGCTTTCATGGGAGGGCCCCCCAGAACCATCTCCCATGACAGAGTTGCACATATAGAGGGCCCCGACCCCCCACCCGCACCCCCAACACATACGCCAAGGTTTCCTGAACCTGATAGTGACCCGAAAGGGAAAGGGTGGAGGAAATCATTGCAGTTCTACATGGAGCTGGGAATGGGAGTGGTGAGTCGCATTGCATTGTCAGGAGTTGAAATGGCTTTGCCACTCCCCTGTTCATCTCCCCACCCCTCTGTCACACACTTCCAGGAAGACAAGCTCCTGACACACACTCCCTGATCTCCCATCTCATTGGGACCCCTCACTGCCGGCCTTCTGCAGAGCATGGCTCACACCTCCCTTGCCCATCCCTAGGGAACCAGCCTGCAGCCCAACCCACTTCCCAGCAGAAATGGGACAGCAGAAAGGAAAACGCATCTATTGAGACGTCCTAGGGGCTGGGAGAGTCACCCAATCAGCTCCTTTAATCCCCACTTCCAGGAAGGAGGTGCCGGGATCACCATTTTACAGATGGAAAGACTGAGGCTTGAAGAACCCCCAGAAGGAAGCAGTGGTACCATAACTGGCCACTATATCGCACGAGCCCCTCCACAGCCACATTTTTTCAGTGTTAACCCCCCATGTCTGTTCACTGCTCCTCTCCATCCCAGCCACCCCCACCCCTAACCTTCACCCCAATGAGTTGGGGAGATAGAACCTGCATGTCAGAGGGGCAGCACTCTGCCCTTCAATGGCACCCCCCAGGTGCCCCTCCAGACATGCACTGCAGAGTCTGTTCTTGGGGGGCCTAGCACAGATGGGCAGAGGCAAGCCAGGGGTGACCTCTGCCTTTTGATCAAAGGTGTGATTTCTCAGCTCTGTTAGAGAGTGCTCACTTTTCCTGCTTTGGGAGAATCACTTCCCCTACCACCAGTTTCAATGTCCAACCAGAGAAAGGGTGAAGGGAGATGAACAAGGAGACAACGACTTCCGAAGGGGAGGAAGGGGAGGGGAGGGGCTGGGCCTCCCCAGCTGCATCCCATCTGCCCTGGGCAGGCAGCCAGGCAAGGTAAGTGAAACCTGCTGCCCCCCATTAGGAGCTGGCTCGGTGGCTTTGAAGCGTGATGCAGTGATTACATCGGAGCTGACTCCTTCTGGGCCACAGGGGGCGGGCGGGGGGCTTGACCAGTGAGGGGGGCAGGGTGGGGCCCAGGGACTGGTTTGGGGTCAGTGCGGTTTGATTCTGGAGCTGCATGAGTAGTGAGAGGGGTGGGAGGAATTAGTCAATTTTGGAGCCCAGTTAGATTAACTGGAGCATCAAAGTGGGCCAGTTGCACTGTGCCCTCCCCCACCGTCTGCTCCCGCCTAAGGCCAGGGCTCCCTTCCTACCTCCACCCTGTCCTGCAAGGGGCCTGTCTGACCCACATTCGCCAGCCTTCCCGCCCCCAAGCCCTTCTGTGGGTTACACTCCCCTGAGAGTTGTCTCCGCTCTTCCTTTGACTTAACAGTAGAATAGGCCAGTCTCCCAGCATCTCATGTGCAGCCTTTTCCTTCAAAGGCCAACCTCCCTCCTACCTGTGCCCCATTATGTACCCATATCTCTTGCCGAGGAGCCACAGGATCCGATCCATTCATTCATGGAGACCGAAGGGGCTTAGTTTCCCCAGAAGTTGTGTCTTGGAGAAGGCCTGTCCAGAGACGG